TCCAAAGCGCACGTTCAATTGAATTTTTCCAAATTCAATTAGATTTTATTGGATAGCTTGAGCCCTCTATGGTTGATTCACAGATTTCCACCAACCTCGTAATTTTTGCACTCCAGACCATAGACACGGTCCAATCATGAACCATAGCAAACAAAGTCCCAAGTTTATACCATATAGAGCCAATTGTGGAGAAATTTCATAGAGGAGGTCTACGAAAACTCCCAAGCCAAAGATGTGAACCATGAGTCCAGCGTCGTAGGCTAGTTTACAAAAGAACACATGCGTAATTGCCAAAACCCAAATCATGCAACTAGCTAGGCCAAAAAAGATATAGTTTAGAACAAAGCAAAATTCCAGAACCATCTTTGTAAAAAGGAATCGTGTGTGTTCTCATATAAAAGGCCGCTTCAATGTTGAGGATCATAATGATGCTGCTCATAGCAACGTGTAATCGTAGGTTCTTGTTCATCCTACAACCAAACCATTATAAGAGGGTTAGTTTCGATTTATTGAATTAATTACATAATATAGTAATGGAAAAAAGAAAAAAAATAATTGATATGGAGTCTCACCACCATGCACGGAGGAGGCTAGGATTGGTAGCAGCAACATTAGTGTTTGTCATGGTTTCTTCGATTATTATTGATTAGTTGTTTAATGATGTAGAAGAAAGCTCTCTAATGATGCATATATCCTTAATTATGCTCTAATCCTCTAAATATATATAGTTCTCTCTCTGGTGAAGCCCATCGATTAAGATTTTTTATTTATTTTTCTTGAGTCCTTATCCAAGGAGGAATCAAAATAAGAAAATTTGCACCTTGCTTTTCTTGTTCGTAATTGGAATTATTATTAGAAAAGAATTTGATATTTTGTTAAGTGTTTAAATTCAATTCCAAGTTCTCTTTTTCTATAATCCCAAACTATCTTGTTCATATATACGGACTTCTTATTTGTATTAAGCTTTGGTTGAAAGAAAATACAAAACAATAACATGATTTTGGCATCAAACATTATCATATAAACTTGTTTCAGTTTCTCTCATTGTGGATACGACCCAAACGCAAAAAAAAACGTTTTTTTTTTCCAACCATTACTCAAAAACTGTTTATGGGCATGGAATATTCCTTTCTAAGCAACAAAGATACTTTATGTGCTTAGTAAACCAAATATCAATCACTAACAGCTATGATTCGATTTTAGTCAATTTCATCGATCATTCAACAGTGTGGTTTATAGGTCGTGTCATGCTTGTTGCTTCCATGCATGCTTCCATTGTGAGCAAGTCTTTTGATCATTGTTACACCTATTCTCATTTTTAACTTGTATTTCTTTGCTCAACTTGTGTTTTTTTTGTCGCCTTTTTATTTATTTCATCCAAATAACCAAAAGTTCAAATTTTAAAGCTGGCCTTTGGCCACTCAAGGTGTAAGCACGGCAGTTATATGTGAATCATGAACACCCACACATAATGAACAAAAATATACCCACAAAATATAAATGTTGCTTTGTTATGAATTACTCTCCGATTTGATTTATGACAATTCTTTATAAAAAAAAAAACTTTAATAAAAATTTTTATTCATTAACAACTAATAACTTAAAAAAAAAAGACTAAAAAAACCAACAAATTTTAAATCCCAAGCGTTCAATTGATTTTATTGGATAGCCCTCTCCCTGGTTGATTCACAAACTTCCACCAACCTCGTAGTTCTTGCACTCGAGACCATAGACACGGTCCAATCAAGACGGCTACAAACCATAGCAAACAAAGTCCCAAGTTTAGACCGACGTATAGAGCCAATTGAGGAGAAATATAATAGAGAAGGTCTACGAAAACAATCAAGCCAGAGATGTGACTGATGAGTCCAAAGCCGTAGGTGTCTTCACAGTAGTTCACTTCCGTAATTGCTAAAACCCAAAGCATGCTACTATGTACGCCAAAAAGGATATAGATTGGAACAGACATAACTATAAAAATATGTCAAAGGAACTCTTGTGTGTTCTCATATAAAAGATGGCTTCAACGTTGAGGATCATAATGATGCTGCTCATAGCAACATGGAATCGTATGTTCTTGTTCATCCTGTAACCAAAC